TATATATACACAGTTTATTTGAAAACTTTCCAGCTGATTATCTCGAAAAATATAAAAGATACAAAAAAATGTTTCTTACAGAAGTTACTTGTATTTTTATGTAGAAAGATCCTGTAATAAAAAATATACATTTCCGTTTAAAAAAATTAATTTGACCTTCAAATTACGATGAAAACGCCCTCCAAATAAAAAATTGAGAGTGCCATTCTCTTTTCTCCTGGAAATCATGGAATGCGTGTTTTAACTTTTTTTTATATCTTTTATATTTTTCGAGATAATCAGCTGGAAAGTTTTCAAATAAACACCCTGTATATATGTACCAAAAGGATATATGTATAAATAAATGCATGTGTTCTAAAAAAAAGTATGTTGCAAATATATACATATGGAAAAAGCACGAAAATCACGACAACTATTTTTAAAAAAACTAATAATTCCTTACAGCAGTTTGTATACACATTTTGCAAGGACCTTCTTTTTTCTGGTTGTCAATTCGCCCGTGCGAACTCCTACCTCCGCACGTGATGAAATCTCAAATCGACGCCCCTGCATATGCGTAATAATATATATACAATATCACATATATCCTTTTAAATTAAACAAAAAATAAAATTTTGAATTATCAATAATACTGTCTGACAAAATTTGATCCTTTTTGCGATATAAATAGTTTTAGATATTTTTTTTCTGCTGAACATGAATCCGTTGATTAAATTTGAATACTACAATTTTAAGAAAAATGGTGTTAAATAGACGAACATGTTTCAGAAAGGACTGTTCATATTTATATTAAAAAATGGTGTTAGTATAATAAATAATAAAAATCGAATCATCTATAATACAAATAGGTATACATTAAATAATGCTATAAAAATGTTTATAAATAGAAAAGTGCAAAAAAAAGCCTTAAATTTAAAAACTGTCAACTCTTATATATTATACATACATATATATTCTTTTGAGAAAAACAAATGGAGTATAAGTAAGGTCTCTTATCACATTCACCAAATCTATCTATACACAAAACTTTAGTTATATTTCGATATATTTCCTGCGGATCATTATAATCATTTTTATATTGCTACTAAGTGCTTAATTCTCTAAACACATACAATCAATTATTTTATAATTCAATCCATAAAATATTTTGAAATATTCAAATAATGAAAAATCCTTTTCAAATACAATATCTTGAAATTCAATAATAACAAGCTAATGTTGAAAAATTAATTCCGATAATACTGGAGAACGTAATTTTTAATAGCACAATTTGAAACTTATGTAACGTAATAAAGATCATTAAAGAGTGACGTCCTCTGTTGGGTACCTTCGTCACCATAGTCGGCCAAGCCGAAGTCGATTTGGCAACTACCTTTAGACAACGTGGGCGTCCAGCGTGGTTTAGTGATTTCCTCGGCGATGATGAAGACGACAAGAACAACGACGGTGACGAACATGTTCATGGTTCCTGGTGGGGATCCAACATCAATGCGCTTGCGTCGGTCGTCATTTTGACGAAGCCATGGAACAGCCGGCGCGCCATACGAACGACGACGAGTCGCGCACTACGAGTAGGGCGCTGGTCGACTCCGAAACCCCGAAGAAGAAGAAGAAGAGCGTGGAAGAAGTGGAGTGAACGTACCAACAATTGAGGCCGAGGCGATTTAAGCTTAGTTAGCCGAAAGGAAAACCATTATATAGGCGAAGAGTGTCTAAACTACGAGAGGACTTGAGTCCCGCAAAATACGAAAAGAGTCAAAACATTGTTGAAGACAAGTAGAGGACAAAAAGAGAAAAATGTCGTCTTCAGCGGTTGCTAAGACCTCTAAGTACACATACCGCTCTGCCGGTGGTGCGGGTGCTGCTGATGTTAGCATCGAATATAGCGCCGACCTGAGCGCTCTCAGCAGACTCGAGGTAGGTCCTGCGAAAAAGCCTCTGATATGATGTCCTTCGGTAGGAGAGAGAACAGCAGCGATGATAAAAATTAAAAATAATACATATTTCATAAATAATATATATTTCTTCAATCACATTTATTACCAACTTTTAAATACCATCCTCTAATGATATTTTAAATAAATCAGATGAAATTATTTATGAACTTTAGTGCCTTTATAAAATTAAATTGCCTAAAATTAAATTAAAAATTCGAAATAATCATTGCTTCTTCAGAGAGAGAGAAATTTAGTTTAATAATAGAGTTTAAATAAACTTATCGAAATTAAAATAATTAAATAATCCGGAAAATTTATAACGAGACATGCTTTAAATAAATTTGTGATTTAACAACATATTTTTCGACATTTTTAATATTTCAATAAAAAAAATTTTTTACACAATACAAATAAATTAAAAATTTTTATATTTCATTAAAATTATGTTACAATATAAATATATTTGATACAGAAATTAACTATTTTTCTAAAAAATACGGAAAGTTATGTTAAAATCAGAATTTCAAATGAATTTACGAGATTTGTTAGTCCATTCAATTAATATTGCAACGATTATCTATGTATGATGACAAGGCGAATAAAAAAGAATCTATCGACAGACGTTCTCCACCATTTCCTGAGGAAATGCACGGTCGCATCTATTAATCACTATGTTTCAATGAAGATAAAATTTCAACAAAAGTTTCCGTGCGTTATTAAAATATTAACTATCAGTGATACACGATGGATTCACACATGAACAATCGCGGAGCAGTGATCAATCGCGAAGGTGGTGAACTACGAAAGTTCAGTGACCATAAAAGATGTTAGTGCCAATCCAACGAGGAAGCAAAGTGTACGATGTTCTGTAGCTATCGGATTGCTCGTGCACGAAAATAGTCGGTGTCGTCGGTAAAATATCGGTCTGAAATGACGATCATGCCAAGGCGCCAGATCGATACTATACCGCTGAGATACTGTCTGTCAATACTATGCTAAGTCCAGAAGATGCTTTGACCCATCTTTCTTCAAATCTAAGGATATATTTTTCTAAGACGTATTCCATCTGAAGAGAAGTATAAGGGAGAAGTATAGTCGCCTCTACATTAACCAAGTAAGATCATTTCTTCATCCCTTGCAAATAGTGGCCTGACTGTTTCTCTTGGCGCAATCTAACGTTAAAGCGCGCCCTTTCTTGAAATAATCTCAGTCGAGCAGCTCAAAGACTCGCTAAGCAGACATCGCGATGTCGTTCTCTCCTTCTACCGAGGACGAATCTATTCTACGGAGGCCGTCCGTCTTTCCGAAATACCGAGCCTCCACTCTTGGATATTTTCGTCGAATGATTACGTAAAACGTCGACCCTCTATAACGGGCGCCGTGTAATATCCTCTAATACTTATTGCCTCTCGTTTCAGGACAAAATCCGTCTACTACAGGATGACCTGGAGTCTGAGAGAGAGCTGCGTCAGAGGGTGAGTTCCATGAATGTTTTTATACCCTTACAGTATTTCGCAGTTCTTACTCGCAATATGGTGACATAGGGTGCCCGCTGTAATGTTTGATATCAAATTCTTCATAACGTTTGAATCATATTTGATGAAACTCTGTCATATATAAAAGCAAATTAATGATTAGATTGACTATTTTATATACATTTTTTTACTAAAAAATTATAGGATGTTAAAATATCTAGATAAATTATTACAGATTACATTTTTGTTAAAATGTATAATAATTCAATTGGATATTACAGTTTGTTAAATAATTAAAAATTAACACACACAGACTTAATACATATTATTTAACTATTACATTATAATAATGTCAAAATGTAGCACTAATGGTAATAAAAAAGTTCTTATTTGCTGCTTATTTAAAAAAATACTTAAAGAAGACTATTTTATAACAAACATAATTCAATGAAAATTAAAAAGAATGTAGTTACTAACATAGCCACTTTAACAAAGAAGTTGATAAAATTATACTTGTAATTTAAAATTTGCAATACAACATCCAAAATATACTTGATTAAAGAGCATTATGTTGTCCGAACAAAATTATAATCTCACATACGATAATAAAATTATATCTCACTCTTTAGATATCATTAATTAAAATTTGGAAGAATCTGAAAATGCTAATTCATTGCAGAATGGATTCGCAGTAGGTCGAATTATCCAGCTCTTGAGTTACATCTATTTTTAGGAACACGAAGTTCTTAGAGATCGTTTTCCCGCATTCCTGCGCTGTATTCGACACTGTTTGCCTACTTTTATAAACAAGAAAAATATACAAAATTTATACAAAAATTTGAATGATTTATAATTTAAATATTTCAATATTATATATAGAGAAGATTTGTATGTACAAAAACACACAATCTTAAACAAACTTTGAAACTTTTGAATTTTTATATAATATTTAAAAATAATTTAATTCCATCTGCATAAACAAAAAGATACGTTATGCTTTTTATATATCACAAATTAGAATTAACTTCTTTACTTATTAGAAAGTTTTAATTAATAAATTTTACGTACAGTTTTATGAAAATGTATATACATCTGACGAGACCATACATAACAGAAATTACACACTTTTTAGTTATAATATTTATTTATAATTACTTATGTGCAATAAAAAAAGCACAACGGACTTCAAATAGAGAATTACATTTTATAAGAACTTCTCAGATTTCATTGCCTGTCAGAATTCCACAGAAATCGGATTGGTGTATAACGGACGGTGTATTGAACGATTGCCAAAAATTTTCCTCGAGTTTCAAAGCTATAAAACCCGAAAATTGATATGACAGGTTATAGAGCACGGTATACGCTTTCAGAATACCTTACATATCTTCGTTAAAACGTAAATGCATCACATTTAAAAATTACAAATCTCTTAAATACTAGATACAAAAGCATATGCAGTTTGTTTAATTTCTTATGATTCTTACATACATATAGATACATAAACACATGACAATTTAATTTTACCATCAAATAGCGTTTATATAATTGTAATAAAATTTTAAAGAAACAAAACTTTATACCTACATGTTTTATATTAAATTCGTAAGTTTGCGTGCATACATTGTGTTTGTTGTGCCAATAACAGTTACCTTTATTAAAAATATCTAAAATAATACTAATTAAATAAAATGCTTATATAAAATAAAATATATTATATTATAATATATTTTACAATTTCATGTAATATTATGATAGTAGTATCATGATCTCCTTTTTCTCATTAAACACTTCGTTTGTAATATGAATAAGACTCCCAATATAGACACGCCGTGCTCAAAAATAGATCGTCCTATTCACGATGTGAAGTAACATGACGTCAAGCTACCACTTAAGATACCGTGGCAAAGTACGCTGTCACATGCAATTTCTTCGATCAAAATAATAACCATAACTTTACTACGTATGTCACTCATTCCTAATATCACATTTGATTATCTAATGCTAGATTACATAAGAGAATATATAATAAAAAAAAAAACGTTTTTAAGCTTTTAAATAGATATACTTTAATTTTAAAATTCTATCATTTATTGTTTATTTTATTTCAAAAATATAAAAAAAATAGTAGATATAAAATAATATATCTAGAAGTAGAAAATAATTATACTATTTTTGTCATCAATTTTAATTTAAACATAATTTTTAAATTAGTGTAAAAATATGTTGCGAGCTTTCTTATTTAACTACACATCCCGCTAAATATAAAGAACCCAAGGAATATATTAGATTAAGAGAAAGTCAAAATGACTTTAGATTAGAAAATTACAAAATTTGTTTATTACGTTAAGAATTAAAATAAAATCATTTAGATTTTTTGTTGACTTTTAATTGTCCTTTAAGAAATATTAACATTACATCAACATTATATAATATTTTGCCATTCAACGATATAAATGCAATAAAATATAACACATGCTGTATGTAACATTGTTGAGAAAATTATAATATTGAACGTGTATATATAATGTTACTGTTACTCTTTATTGTTCAGAGAACTATACTTATTGCATCATTATTTAATTAATAATTTATTTTAAAAGTTAGTTCCTTTGCAATAAACCTTATGTAAAATTTATAAATTTGAAAATTATCTATTCTTTTTTTCATAAAATTTTACAATCTCACAGATTGAACGCGAGCGCGCCGATTTGAGCGTGCAAGTCATCCAACTATCCGAACGTCTCGAAGAGGCTGAAGGTGGCGCCGAATCTCAAGTAAGTTTGAATTTTACGGAAATAAAATTCAATCCCTCTTTAGTTTAGGTCCAATGCAGTTACATGTAAAAAGTAAACATAAATTATGCACAAATTAATGATTTTCTTGTCTAGTTTGAGATCAACAAGAAGAGGGACATGGAACTGGCCAAACTGCGTAAATTACTCGAAGATGTCCATCTCGAGAGCGAGGAGACCGCACATCTCTTGCGCAAAAAGCATCAGGAGGTCGTCGTCGACTTTCAAGATCAGATTGACCAGCTTTCTAAAGCACGTGCCAGGTTAGTAGCAAGAAACATCGTCATTAATGAAATTCTGTCCATCACGCCAATATAATATATAGCTAATATAAGAAAATAATATAATAAGTTTATTTAAAATACATCAATAATTTTTTAATGATTGTTTGACTCGCTATTAAGCATATATTTATAGATTCAATTAAATACATTTCAAATAAATGTATCTTAAGCTTTTATGTAAATTTATTTTTTGTTAGAAATTAATTGACCAAGACCAGAACTCCGTACATTTCAGAAAGTGCACGGACACGTGTACATTCGCGATCACAAAGCAGCCGCAATGTAAACGTTTGTTAATCTTCTGTTTAAAACGGGAGCGCATAAGCGTGTTGCCAGGGAACATCAATAAACAGCTGAGAACTAGCCGGAAATTCGGCGCGTAGCAAATAGCAGTTTCATAAGGAAGCGTCCCGCAATGTGGAAAAGACAGGACGCTAATAGAGAGGAAGTGTAATGAATCACGATGTCACGTGGGTAATTATAACGCGGCTCGTCACAAACGAGAGTGACTATATGTAAGAAAGTTTGTGCGAATTATACAAGTCGCACTGGCCACAGTCCAAACCAGAAAATGACTCGCAACTGAAATACACGAAGATTCAGTACCTTGGCTCTTCTAAACATAGTCTTTGAGACGCCGATTCTGTCGTCCGTACTAGAACGATGACAGCCCTGGAAACACGCGTTAATTAGATCGCTAATTGGCCGCGCAATGAAACGTCCGTGACCGCTTTTAGTTTCGCTTTTTTGGTAGCTTCCAATTAAAAATAAAACGTTTAAAAAAACATTTATTTTTTAAATAATCGCTTGAACTGTCTAAGAGGCAAAGTTATGTTCTACCACTTCAAAAATATGCCAAATAATATTCTAGAATAAAATTAAGCAATCTTAAAAATACGCACAAAGTATGAAATAAAATTTTTATAACTAAAAAATATAAAACAAATTATATGAAGTAATCGAAAACTTACAGACTTATTATACATTTTATAATTAATCACTATTAATTGTAGATTTAAATCAAGAAATCTTTGATACACACCATCTTTTTTAAGAATCACACATTCAAATATAATCCCACACACAAACTTTGTATACTACTATTTCTTATACAGCATACTCCTCATTTATATGGTAACGTCCTCTTTAGGATATTAGGATATTTGGAAGCGTATGGTGCTGTATGGAAATACTTACATTATTGTGTCAGAAATCCTTTAAAAAGTATTAATTTTCCAGAATTTAATTTAAAACACATAGTTGCTAAAAATAATAAGTAATCAGTACAGCTGTTACCTTGCTTCAAAAATCCAACGACGCAAATAGTACCAAATATACTCCAGTTACATTTTCTTCATGATTTTATTGCCGATTATAAATCGTAACCCACGCAATGACATTGACAAAATTTTTGAATATTGTAAAAATAGAAGAATCAATTTTTAAATGTAACATAGTTATCTTTATTCTCTCAATAACCTTACATATTATTTTTGATCATTTTTATTCCAACTTTATCTATTGTCATCCATCGTTGTAATTTGTTTATCTTTGACCAATCTTAAGACATTTCTTTTAAAAATTAACTTCTTCAACCGTGTCTTAAATATAATGCCATTCAAAAAGAAAAATTTTTATTTGTTTATAAGATAAACCTGTAAAGGTTGTACGATAAGTTACACTGCGCTAAAATTCTTTTTCTTTGTCAGTACAAAAACATACTGTCTTCCTCTATTTTCCTCGTGCGTTTCTCGTTCTCTGTCTTGCTTTTGCTCACAAGCTTATGACTATTTTTAACCGTACGAGTCGCGCGGTAATCCACAACCCCAACGTTGGCGCGCCATATTAGTACACGCGACCGGCCAGAGAACCCCCACTATCTTCAGAATCGGCTAACTGACATCTTATCTTACACCCTCTATCGCTTGTAAGAGTAAATCCAGATTACCAAAATTTTTTCATGTTTTTTCCAGAAAAGTGGAATCGTTTATAATATTCTCTTTAATGTACTTATTACGTGTGGAGAAGATGTAACCAGGTGTTGAATTATATTTTATTTAGACATATGTATTATTATTATAATTTAAATATTTATCTTCTTAAAAGTTTCTCTTTTCTTTTATCTAATGTTATCGAAGTGTTTTACAGAATTTTTTATTTATTTTTATTAGAAAAGTATCAAAAATACATATTTTATAATTCACACTTTACGCATCAATAACATATTACTTTAATAACTTAAAATTATATAATTTATATATATACATACATATATATATATATACTATTATATATATTATAATATAGCTATCTTTTACATATTCATATATTACGTAGATATTCTCTCTCTCTCTCTCTCTCTCTCTCTC